AAAGAATTAACATCGATCACGCCAGGAGATCGAGTCGAAAGTCGAAACGTGTTCGAAGGTTAGAGAATACAAAACGATAGATTTCGTTAGTTTAAAAAAAGTTTAAGGTATATCGTCCGGATGTATTCCTAAGTAGTAACAGTTGCGCGGAGAAAATCGTAAGTATTCTCCGAGCAGCAACTAGTTGTGCCGGTTGTGCGGAGCCGAAGGAAGCCGAGTCGACGCGATATCACGTCGAGCCATGCCACGATCGCTCCTGTTGAGCTGAAACGACGTCGGGTCTCGCTAATGAGGACGTCCTTTCTTGCATACCGGATAACGTTTCGCCGCCGGGCGACGCCGGGCGTCTCGAATTTCTCGTGTACGCCTCTTCTTCGTCTCCCTCGCCTGCTTCTCTCCTTCTAGGAACGATCAATCGCCCTTTCCCTCCCCTATTTTCGTCTCACCCTTCTCTTCGTCTATCCTGCACCTTATCGTGAAAAGTACGCGGCACGTTGAGTTTGCCGTCGATCGATCGAGTGGTACCCGATGGAGACGACAGTTCCAAAGAGAAGCGATGGAAGTCTGCGAGCGAGTCTTCGTGAAAATCATCTCGAACCAATTAAATCATTGTGTTACCGTTTACTACGTAATTCGGTAGCCAAATTGCACGGATATTTACAATTAGTAGTAGGTAATTGCCGGTGGTAAAACGGTTCGATACAATTTTATCGATACATAGTCGAGTGGATCGTAGTTAACCGTATAGCGAAAGTAGATAATATATGTGGACCGGATGACACAAAGTCGAATGAACGATACAGCCAAAAAATTCCAAGACGAACAAGAACAGAAGCTAACGAAAGGAGAATCTGATCTCGGGCGCGTATAAGTACATACGTACCTCTAAATTGTGCATAGTTTCGAAGATGCTTCGGGAAGACATAATTTGTGAAGAAACTATGCTACCGGAAAACATGCAAATGAGAGAAAAGAAAAAGAACATCACCGACGGTAACAACTAACAACCCCTGTCCCTTCTTCTATTCTATTATTCTACGATAGGATAGGAGTAATGCTTTCCACCTGTCACGAGTTACAACTCATCGATCGATAATTCTTCTCGGCTCGCGTACGTCGAGACTGTTTCGATACGATCGTGTGACATTCGCCATGTCAATGATACATGTTCACGTTTGACACAAGAATAAAATGGCGTCTGAACGGTATCCTCGCCAATTCCACGACCGAAACGTACATACATATGTACCTACACACTACCTACCTATGTAGGTGCGTCGTATTTTTAACGGAACGCAAAAAGAAAAAAAGCAGAGCGATTTCTGTTACAGCGAACTGTGTGAATTGTGTCTCGTTCGGAGGCAGCATGTTTTAGCGAGTGTGGCATAGGGAATACTTAGGTAGCACGCAGTAATAACGGCGCAGCGCGGCGTGGCAACGACAGGACTGGACGGACTGCATGGCTGTGGCAGGCATGAACACATAGATAGACCAATACATCGCAACCAATTCACCTCCGTGAAAAAGTTGACCATTCTTTCTTTGTTCAACCGGTTCAGATTTCCCAAATAATTCTTCGATTTTTTGCTGTTTTTATGTTTTTCTACACCTATGATTCTCTGTGCTAAAATATAGAAAAAAATTTGTCATTTTCTTCTTGTTCATGTCATCTTGGTTATCTCGGCCCTTCGCCTGGACTATCGTTTTTCTTTGGTTTTGTGATTAACATTTTTCGCACATCTTGGAAGAAGCTACCAGATCGAGCCAATAAAAAGATAATTCGAGTAAAATCGTGAGCACGCGAATCATAGCATATGCGTTAATTCCAATGTCATCGCTGCCGTTTTATCGGCGAAGATCAATTTTGAGACACGAAACGGCATAACAATTGACCAGGGCTTGTCATTGAACAGGCGCGTGCAACGCGACGTCAGTTGGTCGCGCTGACGAACATAGAGTCACACGTAGGCGGAGGAAACGGCACGCTGACACGCCGCGCCCGCCACGGCGGTCGACCGACAGGCCGGCACGCTGGCACGCAGCAGAGGCAGGCAGGCAAGCAGGCGGCCTGGCACGCACGCTCTTTCACGTACATGTCGTTCACATGCACGTCAGCAGGTTGCGTGGGCAGAGCATTTCGCGCCGCGCGTGCCGACGGACACCTCCTCCGACCCCTTTTCACGTCGCCTTACCAGCTCACGCGTTTCCTCGCTCTCCAACTCTCCTCGTCACTTCTTTGCTTTCTGGTTCTCTCGTTTCCCCTCGAGCAGCATCGTCTCATCGCTCTTCACCTCACTCTCCGCGCGCCGCACAGTCGGTCTTTCTACGGTCCATCCGTTCGATCGCCCTCTCTGTCTCTCTCTCTCTTTCTCTCTCGTTCAATCGCTCTCACCCTCGCGGCCGCCGCCCGTCTCTCACCGCTTGCCGCTCGCTGGCGTTAGCCGCCACCCACCTCTCGCCTGCCTATCGTTTGCTGCCCGCCGCCCGCTATCCACCACCCGTCACCCTCCACCCGCCTCGAGGGCTCATCGCCTCGACGAGCCGAACAGCCACGGATCGAGCTTGCCCTGTGTGTGTGTGTGTGCGACGGTACTTGCCTCGAACTCTCGGCCACCTCTCGGGCAAGTCGATTCGGGCCACGCCAGGCTGTGCCGCGCCACGCCGCGACGCACCATGCCACGCCAGTTCCACGACCACGCCACCCGTGCTGGCTCGTGCCGTGCCAGTACCGACAACGAGCCATCATCTGCCCTCACCCCTCCGCCACCTTTCTTCGGCAAGTCGTCGTAACTCCCTGCATCGCGGCGTTATCCTCGCCCATATCCAGTCGCACGCACACGACCTGCCACCGTTACCGTCGCCGCCTTTTCGTTCTTGGCGTGAGACATCGAGCTGGAAAGAACCGGCGAACGAGTGAACAAAGAAATACGAATATAAAAAGAGACGCCGAACACACCGATACAAGAGACAGACCGGACAGTCTAGACGGATCGGACAGAGATAGCAGATTAAAGGGTAATGCTGTGGGTAGCAATGACAGTCATCGTTTGACGAGCGTCGTACATAATTACCTTTCCTGTATTTTTTCAGATGTCATCGTTCCATTCATAACGTTTCCAAATTTATTATCGATACATTCGATCGATTTATCGCATGCCGTTAACGCTATGGTTTCTTTGATCTAAGGTTGTCGCGTCTTTATCAAGAATCCACTTACAATTTTCCGTTTCGTAGACATTGATCATACGATCGATTGTCACCGTTCTGCAAAACATAGATACAGTGAATTTATTCGAAACCATTATTTTTCATCCACGTACAGTTTCGCGATGAAATTTTTGGGGTTCGTAGCTGATCGTAACAAACGTCTGGCCTTATGGTGGAACGGGGTTCTCTCGGTAGGAACTGCGTAGCGGCTACTTAAATCGTTTTCTGCTTAGGCAACGCATCCTTAGTTGAGCGATAAATCGTCACTGTGAAAGAAAGAAAAAAGAGATCAAGGTAGGTCGCGTGCAACTTGCTAGTTACTACTCGCTGGGAATGACGGACACGCATACGAGTATACACACACATTGAAAGGAAGGAGAGAAAAGCACACGTAGCCCCGCGTAGCCCGAGGCAAGGGCGCGCGTGAGCGGGCAAGCGAACCTCATCCTCCCTCTAGGCCTCTTGACGGCAGCGGTTCTGGCAAGCAGCCACCAACCGACCCCCGCCTCACGCACGACCAACCGCGGCGCGATCCTCCGCGCGGCCCCGGCTTCTCGCCTACGACTCACACACGCGCGAATCTCTGCGAAGAGCCGCCAGCTACCGCTGGTCGACTCGCAGTCCGTCACCGTCGTTCGTCGAACGAGGACGTGGGCGATAATACTCAGACGTAAACCCTAGCCCTAGCCTAGAGGATAGAAGGAAAACAAGTTCGATTAAAGCCGACCGTCAGTATCGCTTGTTTTCACACACACATCGTGAAAACCGATTAGAGAAAAATCATCATTTTTAGGATTACAGTTTACTGTCACGAGCGTTCAACTTGAATGCATGCAACGGAAGGATGTTACCGAAGAAATGTCCTTGGTCTTTCGTGTGTCTCTGCATCTTTTAGAGTTACCGATACCATGAGTGCATCCCGGAAAATTTTCTTCGACGACAAAATGAATAGCATGTTCAAACGCGTGTCTTAAACAACAGGCATTTAATTTGTGATTATGAGTGATATGAGTGATGAACCACGTGACGATGGGCTTGCTGCCTGGATGTGTTATATCCCAAAGTTGAGTGAAAACTCGGTAACTTCATAGTTGGAAGTTGATTGATTGCGTCGCGTGGAGAGACCGCGTGGAAAGCGCGCGCTTCCATCTCAAAGTCGATACACAGTGGGGCAAAACGTGTTCACTTGCTTTAAGTATAGAATAAGACGCAACGAAGAAGTTCCAGCTGACAGGACGCGCGCATCCAAAGGGGCGCTTCGCATTGAGGCTTTATTCTATGTCGTATGTTGCCTCGTTCAAGATAGAAAAACGAAAATTAAACATTAATCGAGCATACTTCGTAAGTGTCGAGTAAAACCGAAAATTTGGAATCACACCAACTTAGTGCGACACGTAGAAGCTGTCTCGAACGCGAAATGCTGAGTGTCTCAGCTCCGTCAGGCCGGTTACTCTGGGCATTGAAATCCACTTTGCCGCCGCCGCCGCCACCGTCGTTATCACCGTCGGCGTCGTCGTCGTCGTCGTCGTCGTCGTCGTCGTCGTCGTCGTCGTCGTCGTCGTCGTCGTCGTCGTCGTCGTCGTCGTCGTCGTCGCCGTCGTCGCCGTCGTCGCCGTCGTCGCCGTCGTCGCCGTCGTCGCCGTCGTCGCCGTCGTCGTCGTCGTCGTCGTCGTCGCCGTCGTCGCCGCCGCCGTCGTCGTCGCTGCCGCCGTTGCTGTCGTCGACGCCGTCGACGCTGCCGCTGTCGTCGACGTCGTCGTCGTCGACGTCGTCGTCGTCGTCGTCGTCGTCGTCGTCGTCGTCGTCGACGACATTGTTACCATTTCTAGTGTTATCATTCTCACGATTACTGTGCTCATCGTCGTCATTTCCATTCCTGTCGCTACAGCCGAGGGCCCACGTGGCCTGCTAAAATGACCGCTCGTCTTCAATCGTTGAGGCATCAGGAGAAGAAATCGGCCGGTAACAATCACAGACATCACCACCACCATCATCATCATCATCAGCATCATCAACAATCTCAACAGAACCTGCATCAGGGACCGAGTCCGGCAGCCAGTCCCAATCCTAGTCTTAGCCCGAGCCCTAAACACTCGGACGGTCGTCGAGTGAGTAAACGCGTGTCTTTTTCTACCGCTTTGACCATCGGGATTTCTAAATTGTAATTGTATGCGATTCGATTGTTCTATTACTCGTATAAAGCTTTTCGTGTAGAATGTTAACGTTCGCGCTGAGCTTGAATGATAAAGAAAAAGAACGAATGCTTACGCGGCTCAAAGTTCCAGACTACCTCAGACCTACCCTTCACGCGCGCATCGACGCATTCTCTTTGCGGCTACATGCGTGTTTAACTACATCGTTATCACCTTCTAGGCTAACAAACCACTAATGGAAAAGCGACGGAGGGCGAGAATCAATCAGTCGTTGGCGGCGCTGAAAGCGCTTATCCTCGACAGTGCCCGACTGGAGAATACGAAGCACAGCAAGTTGGAGAAGGCTGACATTTTAGAGTTGACAGTTCGTCATTTACAAAGGCAAAGATCACTTGCTCAGCCTGGTTTATCGAGATACAAGGCTGGTTATCAAGATTGCTCGAGGGAGGTACGTTTCATTCGAAAAACAAATAGAAGAATATCGGAAGAGCTTTTAATAAGTACATGTTTGGATATTACGAGAAAGAGAAGCTAGCGGCGACAAAACAAAGTCGATACCGTTCAGCAGACGCGTCTGATTTTACTTTGATGCTGCAGGTAAGTCGATATCTCGATGCCCCGGACATAATCACCGGGAATACAACGCCGATGGACCCTGCGGTCAAACAGAGATTACTACGGCACTTGGATAGTTGCGTGTCGGAATTGGACTTGGATCTGGGTTCGCGGCCGGATAGCGGATTAGGCAGCAGTCCCGGAAGCGTAACGGATCGAGTGACGGGCGCGGGAAGTCCCGGTCCGTTGGAGCATCACGTGCCATCGACCGCACACTGCAGTACAGCTCTGAATCCGGCCGGCTTGATCAAAGCGGAGATTCCAGATGTCGAGCCAGCCAGGCCGGATAGTAGTACTATTGCGGGCGACGAAAACAACAATAATAGCAGCAGCAGTACTAGTGGGAACAGCCGGCCAACTTCTGCCTTTGGTCAACTTAATCCCGGCGGTAGTCTCGATTCTCTTCATCACCCGCCACCTCCACCTCCACCCCCACCTCCACCGCCTCCTCCACCGCCACCTCCCCCAGGCATACCGATCATCGATCATCAGGCTTCCAGTTCTCAACAGAATTCGAACATGTTGTCGGTTGTGCAAGTGATACCATCGAGATTACCCGACGGACAGGTTGTTTTCCTGCTTCCTAGTCATTACGTGCAACTAGCAGCAGCCGCCGCTGCGAACGGCATTAGTATCGGTCCAAATCCACCCACGGCCATTTGGGCTGCCACTAATATGTCTTTGCTCAAAGCCACGGATAAACTCGCGAAAAGACCCCACGAGGATGTGCACGAGTGGCAGGATGCGACTTCTGTTGCCGCTAATGCTGCTGCTGCCGCGGTCGTCGTGGCTGCCGCTGCCGCCGCCGGCACCACCGTCACCGGCACCGCTACCGCCACGTCCGCCAACGCTTCCGTCTCCGCTTCCGTTTCCGCATCCGCCCCCGTTTCTATCTTTACTACTACGAACATCATGCCCGGTCCAAAGCCTAGCAAAAGTCCAAGACTCGAACAACCGGAACAACCGCTCGATTTTACCACTACCTCCAAAAAACTGAAACTCGGTAGTACTGTGGGAAGAACCGATACTATTAATAACGCAGAGCACAATGTTCAACAACAACAACAACAACATTTCACGACACGATTATCCACGGAAGGAACAATTCCGCACGAAGACAGACCGTCCAGTCATACCAGCAGTAACGACTTTGTCACAGGAATCCCTTCGCCGTCTCCACTACCCCAACAGCCTATAAGAGACGAAGAAGGAATGTGGAGGCCTTGGTGAATCGTGAGTGATGAAAGCGTTGGTGAACAATGAATTCGTAAATACTTATCTGTCGCCAATTTGTTTCATTCTGGGAACCGACGAACGCGAAACTTGAGAAAACACGCGAACGGAGGAGTGTTATCGTCGACAGAATGAATAATTCCGGTCGTTACAATTGGCTCAGCATATTCAAAGTGTTCCTCGAATTTTCTGCTCTTCAAGTTTCGAGGAACGTAACAATCTCGTTCGTTGCGTTCCGACGTTTCGTCCGATGTCGGAACGGCCAAGAGAGACATTGTCGACAGTAGGTACCTATCGAGAGGAAACGACGAACGTTTACGTATTATAAACAGATACATAGTGAAAATCTCTTCGATCTTTTTCTCTTTAGGATGCTGGGACGAACTTTACCTACTCGCGAGGTGTGTGTTTGAAAGTAACGATGCGCGGTCATCGTGCGTATCATCCATTCATTATACATCGGACATGATGTAAAATGCTAACTACGAAAGTGTATTGTGTGTAGTGCGTTTATCCGACGTCGTGTACATAAACCCGATCGAAATTGGAGATATTGATGAGTATAGATTTATTTTGATGTTAACTAGGTGTATACGTGTACGAGATAGCGTAGAGAGAAAGATAGGATTGCGATCGGATGTATGACGAATTTCTTTCAAAGAGACACGTATCACGAGGCTCGAGTTCTTCGTTCAACGTACTTAGAATTCGTTGAATATATTATAAATATATGTAATATATTTATAAAAACAAAATACCTATAATATATTACAAATATATATAATATAAACGTATGTATGTACATACTGACCGTGAACCATGGTATACATATACTTATCCCAAATCCCTTCGATTATTCTCGGTTCTGTCATTGTCTTCTAACCTCGTGCTTTCGATTCATTTTTCAATCCCTAAAAAAGCGTAATATGTTTTCAGGATATTTCAACATTACCAACAACCATGTCGATCGAAAGCAAATACACTGTAAATTGCAGTTACAAAAAAGGGAGTAAAATAGATACACGAGCAATGTAAAAAACGTACCATTCATTTATGACTCTCACCGTGTTGTAAAATATCCAAGGGATCTTTACGACACGATGTTAGAGCAAACATTGTATAAAATGAGAAGACGACCACGTGTCTTTGATTTTCCCAGCTATAAACCTTGTACATACATACTACATACCTACTACGTACGCGCACATTCGGACCGAGATTCACAATTGACTGTGAATCGTACGAATGATTTATGAATCGTGTGTCACACGAGGCAAAACAAGAAAAGAATGTCATAATACATAGTACGATATTATAGTTTCGACTTTACTTTTGCCCAACAACAATGTCAGATCTTGTGAGAGCATATATTATACGTATGTATGTATGTATGTATGTATGTATGTATGTATGTATGTTTTGCAGTAGTTTAACCACCTATTACGTTCAGTCAACCATCGAACTTAATGATTTCTTTTTACGAAACACACTTTGACCCCTACGAATTTTCTCTTAATTCATCTATAATCTATTCTATTCCGATCTTGCCCCTATATCTCTGCACCAGTAATACACGCCAATGCCAGCAGCAGACGCGCGCTAGACTCTATGTTTACTATGTACATGTACATAATATGTACATACGTACCTATGTAAACTCTGGATTTTTCCAAAGAAGGTACACATGTGTAGGTAACACGAATAGGTACATACACCGTAGCAAGTCACACAGAATCAAACAAATTTATTTACAATAAGGATGATCAAAATGGACGTTCAGCCTGATCGAACAACCACCAGTGGATAATGAGAACTCTCCCTGCTACCGCAACTGTATTAGAGTAATATAGAAAAACCATGCCAGCTGGAATTAAATATATTTTCCAGTGGTGTCAGATTGCATATTGAATTTCTCTAGATCAATACTGCGCATTGATCATTGCCGATTATTACCAGTTTTATTTTTTCAGTGCGCAACGATAAACAGGTACGTATGGTTATATGTAATGCTCGTGGTTCGACTCACCAATAAATTAAATGATTAAGGAACACGCATCGAACACCTGTTCGACTAATGTCAGATTGTTCACTTGTGACATTCTGCACTTATGTATCCAATGGACGGTCGCTGCTATTACACGTTGCATATATGTATAGATAAGTTGTGCGTAAGTTAATAATACATGTGGTACATAATATCTATTTAGTCCGTTCCGTATCACTGGCGATTTATAGAACCCTCACCGCTGCGTTATTTTTCTACGTAATGGAAGTGGTCAAATGGATCTGTGGCGCCATCTACGGACAAATGGCCAAGTTACTAGTTAATTAATATTTCTTTTCACCGCTAGATCACACCGCCGTCATATATATATATAGATACATTGTCTTCGAAATTTAATTTTATTCAAATTTATATGCAGAATCATCCGGAAGTGATTTCCACTTTTTCAAAACAGCAACTAATATTTAATAACTTTCAACAATTTGCAATTTGCAGGTCTAATATTTATCGCGTATCTTGAATCTTTAAAATTTAAACGTTATGTTAGTAGACTGGTAGAATCATATAGATAGTCCGCGGAAACTGAGAAACGAGCGTAATCTAAATTGCAGTGATATCTAGTGACTATTTAGAATTTAGACGATTTAGACCACATATAGATCACACCTTAGTCGAAGCTGGTCGATGCTTGTAGCGTGGGTTACAAACTGAGAATACGCATCATACATACATATATATGTATATGTAGTACCTATATATACACATGCTTTGTGCAAAGGGATATTTTAAAGATTTCTTGTCTCTTTCGTAAAGAACGGTTCGAAACATAAGAAGTCAGGTATAGCGGTACATAATTGTCAAGATAACGTTAGATAAAATTATGGATTTACTAGGGTCTATTTTGAATTCGATGGATAAACCTCCCACAGTGAGTGATAAACAAAAGGCATTGATGAAAAGTTAGTTACCAATTAACCTAAATATATCGTCAATCCTTCGTTCAGCTTTATTTTACGGACGAACTACGTTTTATTTCATAGAACAGAAAGAGGAATATCAGAAGCAGCAACGAGCAGAAGCCGAAAGATTGAAAGTTTTCAGAGAGAAGGTTAATATTTTTCATTTGTTATCTTACGTTTGTTAACACACTATCGGGCGGTCGACTAAAATTAGTTGTTATAAAATCAGACTCAGGGATTGTCTTCTGTCACTTTCTCTCTCTCTCTCTCTCTCTCTCTCTCTCTCTCTCTGATGACATTTTCGCAAATACGGATGCGACATCGGAACTTTTTTACCCTGTTATAAATATACAATAAGTACTTCTGTAACATTTTTCTCTAAAATGAAAAGTGGTGGCGCCGGCCGTAGGCAGCAGTTTACGCGACATGTCACCGGCCGTATGTATGGAAACACGACAATCTCTGTAGCAAGTCTCTTCCCCCGAAAGTGTGTTGAATTAAGAAAAAAAGAGTTATTAAGTATGCATTACTCTTTTTACATATTTTGTACTAGGTAGAAACAAAAGTGAACACATTTCTTCAAGACGACAGTACAAAGGAGTACAAGTTCCACCCTATGGATCAAATTCATAGAAGCATAATGTACATAGAAAAGATTGCAATTTAAATTGTGTACCGAATAATTGATATTACGTTTTCGTGTTGTAGACACGATGTTGCAGAAGTGGCAAATGTTTGGGCATATTCGTTCGGCGAAGAGGGTATCGATCGACATATCATGATTTTTAAGAGAGAACACACTCCATCGGAAGATCAATTGAACGCATTGCGTAGAGGAGAAGAATGGAACGAAGAAATAGCTAGACGGGTCGCGGAAGAAAAAGAAAGGCGGGCCAAAGAAGAAGTAGAAACTGCAAAGGCCAAAAAACGAAAAGACAACTTTGTACCGAACAGTTATTATAAGGATAAGTATCAACATTTAATAGGAAAAGAAGCTGCTCTAGAAGCAGCTAAGAAAACAGAAGCCAATAGCAATTATGGGTTCGGTAAGTGTATACTAATTCGTTCGTTTCACGAACAATTGGTATTGATGGAGAAATTTCTTTTAGTTCCAAGCGAAAACAAGAAAGATCAACGAAGCATAGAACAGACACTGGCGGATATACGTGCGAAGAGAAGAAAATTAGAAGAAAACGGAAACGCAGTAGCGTCGAATTTAGAAAGTAGAGATAAAACGGTAAAATAGTGTCACATTATGATATTTAATGCATATACATCTAATAATATCTATCAATTGAAAATTTTAAACAGTTTCGTGTTAAACGCGACATGATTTTGCAAGATATATCGTGTGTTTCCATTCAGTTGTTCATTCAACCGTTTCATTTATTTCAAGTTAGTATTATATAAGTACCTGTAAGAAGAAACGACAAAGAAGTTGTTTTTTTTTCAACTTAGTACATGTATATTTACCAAAAGGTAAAACAAATCGACTTATATACACAAAATATAATACATTCGTTGTGCCCAGCGAATCAATGAAATGTTCTATATTTTTCTTACAGTTTCACTATTTTCTTTCTCATGTCATTATGTACATATATATTTGTATAGTTAAATATATTCCGTAGTCAAATATTTTGGTACCGAAGTTCTAGGAGCAGGTTTGGGTTTTGTTGGAGATAAGGCGTCGAATACAATTTGCTCTTTTAAAGCCAGTAACTTCTTGAAGATTTGATTTGTCGTCGATTTATATAGCTCTAGTCCTCGCACAATTATAACGTCTCGAATGTAAGCTGCATTATCGTGAACCAGCTGCTTCTAAACTCACCGTGAACAGAAGAAACTATTGATTATATAAAACTTACGTCTCGGGATTAATAAACTGGGGGCATGATTATCCCAATGTTAGAACGAGAAAAAATTGTTTACCTCTTGTTTTAATTTCGGATTTGTAAGTGACACAATAATATACTGCACTTGGGCTCGCATCACAGATACTAAAACTCCGTCGATCGTAGCCATGAGTTCCGGCGTAGCAACGTTTAGGCAGTCTTCTAAGAGACTGATGTAAAGTTTCGAGAAAGCTAATGTATTTTCGGTTAATGTTATCCAATGGTCGTTCGTTAGGTAAGACGATGGCACAGTTATACCGAGATCGTCCAGTTCGGATAATAATTTCTCAACATTTTTGTTCGTTTCTAAATTGGTCGGTCGCCAAGTGTCTTCGGCTATATGTACTTTCGCTGTGTCAACGTATTTTTCGCCAGAATCTTGTATAGCTTTGGTCAACGGTGATCTTAGTTGACCGTCTAATTGATACCGAAAATCCATTCCAAGTTGCGTCAACTGAAAGTGTGAAACTGCTTTAATAATAATGTTACCGTTAAAAATGAACCGTTTAAATGAAACTTTTTTCGAACGATTGTGTAGACAGAACAAAAAGAAACACGACAAAGACTATTCTGTACCTGATCGCAGTGACTTCGAACGGAAACTATACACTCTACCAACGTGCTCAACGACACTTGAGGAACAAAAAGTTGTTTAATCAACTGCGTCGTCAGGTGTTTAACTTCTTGACTACACCACACCACCAAACCTAAAATCGTGCAAAAAAAGAAGGAAAGTCTGTAAAAGCGAAGGGAATATTTCCAACATCTTTCAACCGGATAGATAGTCTTTCAATTACCAGATATACAATTTGTAGATTGTGGGAAAAGTTTCAGAAATTCTTTAGCAATTTCCACAATGTTGCTAAAGGCTATCGCACTAAGTTGCTTCGCGTAAGGTGCAACAGCTCCTTCTCTTTTCACTCTTTTTAAACGTGCCTTTAGCACGGCGCTGCACAACCGCAAATACAATTGACAGGCTTGGGCGCTTCTGTTTAGTTGTATCAACAGCTTCACTACGCGTCGTGCGCTTCTTAAACCACCGCCTTGAAGCGATTTCGCTTCAGCGCTTAATTCAAGTTCTTTCGTTAATACATCGACCAGAGAACGTCCCCTGTCGTTTACTTTGGATTGTATATCGAGTAAAACCGAGGTTGTCTGTGCATCCTTTAAATACGCTTTTGCTTTCTCCAACAGACTGTAAGCTTCTTCGAAATGTCGTTGAGCTATGCAGGAATCCAAGTCTTCTGCAACTTCTAACATCCATTCGGGCGGTGGTTCGTACAATTCCGAGTCTACGTCATCCATACCTAGAAAAAAACAACTGAATGATATAATTCAATTTAATTTACCTCAATTCCATTCGCCGTTACGAAGTTAGAGATAACAATCATGGGTATACCCAGGGTATTCGAATCGAGCGACATCGACCGAGATGGTGCTATTTTCTCCTCTTTGGATCTTTCATCGGTGCATCGGGCATCTACGCTTGGATTATCTTCGGTCAGTTTCATTTTCTTTGCTTGCTCGCATTTATCCAGCCACTCTTTCTATATGTGTATGTATATACATATATATATATATATATATAAAAGACACGCTATTATGCGTACTCTGTTTTCCTGAATTTTACACAAATATTACACGTTTCGCCTTATAATATACTAACTTTACTCGTTGCGGTCGCGCATTGAAATACTCTTGTATCGGAAAATGCTAAAAGCTTAAACGCCAGTTTCACCGTTCCTAGATCCCTTACGTTAACCACAGCTAGACTTTCAAGATTATAAACCGCTTGCATTTTGTATCTGGGTGGTCCTCTTTTGTTGCCATTCGCCAACCAAGAAGCGATCATTAAAATGTCATTAAACAAATACGCATGGATCCTTTTTAGCGGTGTTCCTTCCAATGGATCCAATTCGAGTAAAGAACCTTCGTGCAAACACATACGTCCAGGTGTTTCCGCTAAACTCTAGAAAGCAAATCGACAACCACAGATTATTAGATGTTTTTACACGAAGGAATTAAAAAGACCCATCGACTCACCATCGCACCTTCGACAGTTTCAAGCAATTGCATTAGTTTTTCTTTTTGTTCCTCTTCCTTGGATGCAAATTCATTGGCACCTTCTTCTTGAGAGTCTGACAAATCCTCAAAAATAACACCCGTAGTCCTGGTGGACCCTAATGTACTTAACAAAGAACGCTGTTCGCTTAACAATTGTGACAACTGATACATTTCGCTTTCTAGATGCGAGATTTCTTTGGCTGTTTCTATGAACTGCATGTAATTTTGATAAACGTTACGTTTTAGTTGGGCAGAAGTATTGTTCGAAAGCTCTTGAATCTTTACTCGTTGTTGCCTCAATTCGTCGGCACCGACGCATTGTGCGCTCAATTCTTTCACAACTAAAAGAAAAAGAAAAATGTCAAACAGTCGGCACGTTTCGTACTCGATTTATTTACATATTTTCGCGACAGCATACTCACATTTGTCTGGATTAAAATCTTCGGTTGCAAACACTTTTGCTAAACTATCGGCCATTGCATAATAAATATGTTTTTGCTATTTACCGTTAAATTGACGTATCATTTCTCAGACTGACAACTGTAGCAGCTATCTGCCACTATCTGCTATCCACCACTGCTATCTCCCAGCCTGCAGTCAGCAATTATCAACCACAATAGATGACTAATAGATAACAAGCATGAACCATGTTGTCGATGGAATCGGAACTTAGAATGCTTAGTACATATTAGTAATACTTGGAACTGTACGATGTCGTTAACCACCGTAGGATGTCACATGATGTAAATCTTTACATGACCGTGGGATGTCACACAGTACATACATACGTAGTATGCATACATAGATAATTGAGAGTGCCACCGGTTAAAGATATAGGAATGTCCTTATCTGGTTATAATTAATGACTTTGGAAACTCACACTATTTTATATTGAAATTTCTCTTATTCGCGATGAAATGATCGAAAAGATCACTGGCGCTATCTATGCTAAACGAATTAATCATTCCTGAATTAGTATCGTAGTCACGTCGATAGAGGGTACTTTTAATTTATTTTTATAGATCTTCCAGAAATCACTGAACTCTTTTCGAATGACAATTTATACAATGCCTGGATTCTTTGATAGTACCACCGCAGACGAGGTATAGAAGTAGATATTTCATCCAATGTATTCTTTCGGCTCACATTTCTGGGGCGACGACGTCCTATTTCCATTTTAAAACATCTCGATTTGTTGGGAAATTTAGTATTTATGAGAAATATGAAATAATAATTATTTTATTTAAATGATTTTAATTACGTTTTGTGCGTAAGTTCTGGACAGAACTTCCCTAGACGTGTGGCGCGAGAAGTTTTTGGAATTTGTATTTTTATGAACGAAGTTAGAAACTAGTACTTGTGAAAACGGGCATCATTTTTCTTTGTCACGCATTAAATTCAAAGTTTTAAGAACGTAGATTAGTACTTTCTAGCAGCTAGGAACCAGTAATTACAAGAACATTGTTATAATCACATTTATTTGCAACGGTTGGCACTGTATCTCATCATGCGTACCCCGTTTAGTTCACTTTAAATAGCTTTTCCAACGTTCTATGGACAATTTACGTCTTGATCAAGCATTCAGTTTGAAGCTAAAAGAACGTAGATTAATCTCCTGTTATTGAAAATAACAATAAGCGTTCTGGTTGTTTATTGTTATTTTCAATGACAGCAGATTAATCTACGTTCTTTTAGCTTCAAACTGAATGCTTGATCAAGACGTAACCTGTCCATAGAACGTTGGAAGAGCTATTTAAAGTGAACTAAACGGGGTACGCATCGCGTGATAGAGTGTCAACCGTTGCAAACAATTGAGATTTTAACAATGTTCTTGTAATTACTGGGTCCCACCTGCCAGAGAGTACTAATCTGCTTTCTTTAAACTTCAAATGTAATCCATGACGAGGAAAACTGATGCTCGTTTAACAGTGTAAATCCGATCGAAACCTGTTGCAATCACATAACCACTAAACAGAGGCAACACTTTTCTTCGTCATGCAATACATTCGAAGTTTAAAGAGTGTAGATTAGTACCCTATAACGGCTGATTCGTCTTGGCCAAGCACTCAACTTGTAGCTGAAAGAACGTAGATTAATCGCCTGTCAGTGGCAATAACAATAAACGACCAGAACACTGTTAAAATCACACTTTATTTGCAACGGTTGACACTGTATCTCGTCGTGCGTACCCCGGTTAGTTCACTTTGGACAGCTCGTACATCGTTATACGGACAGCTTTCGGTTAGCTGAAGCAGTCGATTTGTAGCTGAAAGTACGTAGATTAATCAACTGTTATTGATAATAACAATAAACAACCAGAACACTGTCAAAATCGCATTTAATTGCGGAATACCACTATTTGTTTGACCGGTGGCGCCACCCGTGGAAATTCACTCAATCTACTAGCCAAATGATACCGACAGGTGAGTGTAAATTCATAGTGATGGAAAAATGCGAATATCTCAGTAATTAAGCGCTTAAAATGAACGTTATTAGTCTGAAATTGTTCCTTAAGACTTAATGCATGGACCCAATAGTGCAGAACCCCAGAATTAATCAAATTAGTTATGGTTGTATGACAGCAGCCCCTTAGGGCGCGGCAACCCGAAGTGCAACAGACTTCGGTCGCATTTATACCGCTGAACGGACAACATTTTTCCTCGTGACGCATTAAATTCGAAGTTTTAGGAACGTAGATTAGTACTTTCTAGCGGCTGGGAACCAGTAATTGTGTTGTGTGGGCGATAGTTATTCACTGATTCATTGTTTTCATTTGACAATCCCATTAGACGGTTTTCGATAAACTCTTGTGGATTTTAGCTAGTAGTTAGATCCTTGATGACGTCCAACGATTCGCATTGGATGTTCTGGAAAAATTATTTTCGAAAAAATGATTGCAAAACCACGCGCCGAACGTATTTCGTCTGTATTTTCAACAATTACTAAACGCAATTTCATCATTCTTTGGGATTTTCGTGTTAGCTTCGACAAGTAGAATTCTTAACAAGTAGAATAGTCCTGTTAAGTGAAAAGGCGTTAACTACACATGGACCCATACGAGAATGTTTTTAAAAGAATCTTCTACTTTCGACTGTGAAAGTTAATGTTTCAGTGTTATCCGGACAGATGAATTTATCGTTCAACACCTGTCAAGAACCGACGCTCGAAGGAATATTGTACCAAATATCATTTATAATTTTACACTTTATTAGTTTAAAGTGACAACGGAAAATATATACATGGCGACGTTAGACAAATTATGAAAAATCATCGATCGAAACGTATTACCTATTCCGGAAAAATTTTGCAAATATGTACGTATCTTGGCAAGCTGAACTGTTTCTCGTAGCGCAAACGATCGATCATCATTGTAAAGCAATATACGCGTAGCAAGAGATTATGGAGTAGGTTAAGTTGCTAATACGTATGGATGTGGGATTTATTAAATATCATATCAATTGATAGGTTGTTAATCGATGCGATATCACCATATTATGTATGTAAATAGGTACAACGTGGTTGTGCATTGCAGTTTCATAGAAAATGTTATGCTTTTAGCTTAAGTTACATACGATACGCATGGCATTCGTTCCATCGCCATGCGTGTCAGTCCACCGGTATCGTAATACGTAAAATTGTTTAGATTTCGCGTATTACCGATTCGGCGAATCGGCGAATCGGCGAATCGGCGAATCGGCGAATCGGTGGTGACTCTATTAGAGCAGAGATCGAGAACTGTCACTGCCAGAGCTCTATTTGTTCGGCATCTTCCCAAAGAACTCGACATACGAGGAATCCGTACGGAATTATTCCTGGAAAATGTCGTGCAACGTCGTTTTCGTACACGCTTAGCGATGGCAGTGAATAGAGCGAGCTTTCGTTTCGCGAGCAACTAGGAATTTCTATTCTTTGCTCTCTCCGTTTGTTCGGTTACGCTCGCGCGATATTTTCTTCGTCTATGTTTCAAAACTGTTTCGATTAAACGTCGATGGTTCGTTGCTCTTTATAGTTTCTTATACCAGAAGAGATAATGTTCGCCCTCGCTGATTTGCAGATCATCGACACCTGAAAGTTTTATCCAGTTTTCAGAGCATGCTAGGCACCGATATCGAGTGAGCAATCGCGGCGAGATTAATAGACCGGTACTATCTACATTGTATGATATAATACATATTACACATTACACTCGTATGTACTAGGAGCGCGTGCGTTTGTATGCCGAATACGCGGGAAAATTGATCGGCAGTACGTACCTCCGGGGGCAACCAGTTGATTGCCCGGTGGCATAGACGGATCAGGCGGTGTAGTGAGTCGATAGAGCAGCCAGTAGTGATAGGACATTGGTTCCTCCTTATAGCCGGCTATCGTGTGGACGTAATGCCCATTCGGCCATTCCGATGCAATGAACTGAAAATGCGGTGACATTTCTGCGGCAAGAAGCATTACCTCGTAAAAGGTTTCGTTTTTAGGAGCGTTCACCGTCAAATTGTACGTCTCGTTCACGTTGCTGCCGACCCACAGAGTGTAAGAAACATTCACCATGATCGGCGCTGTGGTACCAACGATCATGCCGTTATCCGTATTACTCGCGTTGAACAGATTCCCCACGATGTTTCCCCTGTTGCCGTTGTTGCCGTTGTTGCCGTTATTCCCGTTATTCCCGTTATTCCCGTTATTCTCATTATTCCCATTATTCCCATTATTCCCATTATTCCCATTATTTCCATTATTTCCAGACGTACCGTCACCATTCCCAACACTCGCTAGATTTCCGTTGCTTCCAACCGTAGCTGACGCGATCGTTTCGCTATGATTACTCGAAATTGTTGGCTCTGCGTGAAAATACGGAAATGATAGTACCAAAGCAATATAGTATGCATACGTCACGGGTAATTCGGTACCGCGAGGATACGGCATCGTCGAGAATATGCGTAGACCCACGTGCAAAACTCGGCTTTCACTAGAGGGGAACAAGCGGTGAAGGAGAAAGGCCTCCTACCGCTTGGTATCGGGAATTAGTGAAATTTATAGGAAATTAATTTCCCTTGAAATAAATTTACCAAGTGGCAGGAGGCCTTTCCCTGGCGCGATTCTTTTCACCTAGCGGAAGCCGAGTTTGCACGTCAGTGTACTTAGACATATCTCTCGAGGCAGCCATCTCGTTTTCGGGGGACTCACCATTACTGTTGACGTTACCATTACCGACAGTAGTAGTGAGTCGCGGTGGTGAGGTATCTGCGAGTCCTTGACCACAATCGAGAGTCCTGATGCTCGCCAAACCGCGCGGTGTCACGCCAAGAAGTGCTTCGGCAGTCGCGCGAACGTCACCCCCGAAAGAACCATCGGCTCGTTGCTGGCTGGTTAACCATGCCAAAACGGCGGATCGATTCCAGTTATCCGTGGGCTCGTTTTCCGCTTCCTCGAGAGCTTGCATTACCAGAGCCGTTGTTCGTAAATCACCGAAACTACCGTCCAATCTTTGCTGTTGCGCTAAACCGATCGACGGTTTACGCACGAAATGATGAAGATTACGGTGTCTGTGATCCTGAACGATACACTTCAATGCTAGGATCACCATCGCGACGGTATCTGAAAAAGGAAGGAGAAATTGTCGTCGGTAAAAGTAACGATATGAGTAATGATATTCTGTTTGCGTCGGACACGGGGGGGACTCGGTGGCCTAATTGGGGCGCGCTGTATGTGCTTGCTCACCAACGTTATGATCCTGTGCAGCGTTCGCGATATCCAGTAACCGACGTATCGTTCGCTTTCGTACGTGAGCTTGCGCGTTACACGCCGCCAAAGTTGTAAGAGCAAACTCATAGTCGGTGGGTGGTTCGTGATGTTGCAGCGTTCCAATCAGATCGTGGCCATGAAATTCTCTCGGATCCGTACACATGGCGTTTAATGTTAGGGTATAACGCGCCAATCGCACCGGAGAAAAATTAATTTCTCTGTGCCTGAAAAGTAATTGTAACTTGTAACCCCGCGCATCAAGTCTTCGTGATCATGATTTCGATCAGGATACAAAATTTTCTGGAAAGAAGTTTGTTTTACCTCCAGAGTAGAAGCACTATTTCCAGCTCCATTTGCTTGCTACTCAGTTGTAATTCAAGAGGTATCGCGGGTGCGACGTTATCCTCTCGCGACAGGTTACCCAATCGTATAACTAACAAAACTCGATGAGTATCGTTTCCCCAACCGGCATCCTTGTCGCGCTGACTCCACAGCCACGCAGTACCACGTTCCAGGATACTCTCCGCTTCTATGTCGTTTGAACCAACCTCGGCAATGCTTCCTATCAAATCCGAACGCCACAATGACTACCTTGTGCGTTACTTTCGAAATACATACATTGGTTCTACTTCTTCTTCTTCTTCTTCTTCTTCTTCTTCTTCTTCTTCTTCTTCGAGAGAGAGAGAGAGAGAGAGAGAGAGAGAGAAGAAGAACGCGAAAAAGAAGTAAGATATCCGGAGAACGGAAGCACATTGAACAAAATCGCTCACATACCTTCACAACGAACCGAGTCGAGGATGCATACCGAGAAAAGAACTGCCATCAGAGCTGCCATATTAACTCTTCCCCACATTTTTATCCAAGTCTTGACGATACACATAAAGTATACTACGATGTACTCTGGAATGAAGCGGAATAAAATGCTAAACGTTCGGCAACGTATCTTATCGGAAAGATACGATTAGAAGGATTGTTGCAAGCATCACCGGTATACATATACGAGGCACGAGGATACCTTACGTTCGATACCGCCTGCGGAAACACTACTAGGAACAACACCACGATATTGCGTGGGATCGATATCGTAGCACCCGTCGTCCTCGGAAGCAGCATCGCACGGTACACGTACATATGTATACATAGTACCTATACTTACTACCGCCGAACTACATATCTCATATGTATAGGTAGATGTACGTGTACCTGCGCGCTCTCCTTTTCTACAATACTGTCGCGTTTCCTTCTTCTCTTTTCTACTTCTGTATACATACATCACCCACGCCCTGCATCGTTTCCGCCAGCAGCAGGGTTGCAAGTTGCAACTGGCTGCAACTACACAGCCACCGTCATATCGTCAACAATTCGTCTCGACAACCTTCGCCCTAGCTACATGTTATATGACCGCGTCGCGGTACACTTTGTCTCTTTCCATTCCACATACAAATACAATGTGTGAATTATCGTGATTTGATTATTATCGAAATTTTATACGATAGATACGACTTGTTTTCCCTGTAGGTACACGTAAAACCTATCAAAGCTAAAAGCACTGTAAGGAAAAAAAACTGGACAAGTACCGCAGCGGCTGGCAGCGGTTACGGTGACAACCGGGACTACGCGAACGCGTAACGCAGATCAGACACGTCTAGGAAAATCAATGTACCCGACGCGACGTGGCTCTTACCTCTTACTATTATATTGTACATACATACGTACATAGAATTATTCCCGTATGGTCTCGTGGCACTGGAACGATATTCATTTACTCAAAAACTATCCACGTTGTATCAAAAAACATTTTTCCTCTTACGATGCATTTCCATACACTGATACAGGAATACGTATATTATGCACACGTACATACACTACATACCTTTAACCGTTCACTTGCTGTTCGTGAAAATCGTTGTGCTTGTTTCGTTGCGTAGATTTTGTTAGCACAACAACACGTACCAATAATTACTAACGCGTCGAGTCGAGTCCATCGTTGGTGAAACTGACGCGGGCACCAAGAGACCAATGCGACGAGCGTAAGGGATGCGAAGGGCTTCGAGGTCGCCCTCTTTCTCCCGTTAAAGAGGGTAACTCGGCTCGGCGGCGCATCCCCCTCTACGATGTTTCTTTGGAAATCGAACGAATCCGTTCTCTGCGCCAACGACAGCTTTTACATGGTCGGGGCGGTCTTGCTCCACTGGTATCGAACTGTCACCGCCTAAAATTTCTTCCTGTAGTTTCTATACGTATACATATACGTATATATGTAAACATTTGTTTCTTTCAATACTCGCATTCTTCTTCCCGTTCCCCGTCAGACCTGTCTCTTTATCCAATTATCAAATTGCACGATCCATCGAATAATAGATGATAGATTAAAATGTACAAAACGTTATCGACACGGCATAAACGAGAACTTGCTCTACGTTTGTTACGCATCTTAACAAACATCTACAGGATAAACGTTAGAAAACTTTTTCTATCCCACGTGCATGTACATGTATCTAATTGAAAGAAAATATCGGAAATACTTATGCTCGAACCAAAATGTGCCAATACCAACAGATGTGATCGCCAGTTGTTACTAGTATGTACACTGTCGATAAGATTAAATTACAAGTAAATGTATGTACATACTATATAGTATATAGTATATGTAATAAGTTACCGCTTTTTTTTTTCTGGTAAACTGACAGAATAGAAGGTACATACAAAAGACATCGCGTGATATTTCAAGAAATATCGAACAATTCAAATGTTTTAACGAAATTACAGAAATGTATGTGCATAACTTCTCGAGCGTGTTTACATGCAAACATTTGCAGAAACAACTCGATGCTCGGTACAAGCTGTGTACAAGCAACCGATCCATCGCAACAGTTGTTATTTACACGTATTTCTTTTTTGCCAGATTTCCAAGACCTGTGAATTGATCGGGAAAATTCACAAAGTTCGGACGTTGAAAATTCACGGAGAATGTGAAAAAACATGAACGCCAGAGGAGCAGATCAAAACGAGGAAACGTCGGACAATAAACTGGTGTTAACATGGCGATTTTTAAAAATTTATTGGAAAATAGTATTTGCCGTGTCCTGGGCAGCTCTCTTGGCACCATTCATTTTTATTTATAACATACCGGTACTTACATACGTATACGTACACACGTATTCACGACGCGATATTTACGACTGGCGAGGATTTCGCGCTCAGAATTGTTTGACAATGTTCACAACAGGAAGTTCGATGCGCGTACACCGTATTACTGATGGCTGGATATTGGATCCTCGAATGTTTTCCTACGGCAGTCACGGCTCTTCTCCCGGTGGTGTTGTACCCAATGTTAGGTGTATTAAGCACGGCAGAAACTTGCAGCTGTTACATGAACGACACTATAATGGTTTTCATCGGAGGCTTGATTCTCGCTGTGGCCGTCGAACATAGCAATCTACACCTGAGAATCGCTCTCGGCGTAATGAAAACAGTCGGCTGCAGTCATGGGAAACTGCTCGGCGGTCTTTGCGTCGTCACCACGTTCATATCCATGTGGGTCTCGAATACCGCTGCTACCGCCATGATGGTACCAATCATATTTGCGGTACTCAACGAACTGGAACAGGTTTCGAACAGATCTTTTAATGGATCACAAAAACTTTTCTACGTCTATTCGTCGTGTTACTTTTTCTTCTCTTCTCTTTACCATCCGCAATTATAGGCTGGATTCTGCAAAGTCTTCGATACGATGCCAGTTGATCCGGAAAAACCAGGAGAAGAACCGTGAGTACGCAAAAGAATAGAAAAATAATGTTACATTAATCGTTCGTACTAGGGAACAGCAGCCAACGAACGTGACAACGGGCTATTTATTGGCTGCGGCGTACTGTTCTACTTTTGGCGGGACGGGAACACTCGTGGGCACAGGCACCAACCTTACTTTCAAGGGGATATTCGAAAACACATTTCCCGGTGCTGAGGGCATTAACTTCTCGCAGTGGATGGTCGCCAATATGCCTCAAATGGCGATAAATTCTTTCTTGACTTGGATTTATCTTCGCATAGCATACATGGGATATCTTCGACCGAACAGCAAGGACGCACAATTAGCGACCATCGGCGAAGAAGGTGAAGCAATTTCGAATCGAGTAACGGATAGTTTTAACGTCTATAATCCATCCAAGGACTCTCCTTTATTCAATATTTTTAATATGTAACGTTATTCTGTACACAATTCAGGTTATACAAGAAAGATACAAGGAATTGGGCAGTATTACGTTTCACGAGTTGTCTGTTGCCGGCCTTTTTGCATTATGCGTCATGCTTTGGATATTCCGAAAGCCCGGCTTTGTCCGTGGGTGGTCCGAGGCAATAACGAATATGTTAAATATCTTTCTTTATCATTCATCATATTTTCAACTTTTAATATTCTCCTTCGTTTTACAATTCGATTTGAAATATATGCGCACACACACACACACACACTCGCAACGTGTCTCATGTCCCCTGTTATTAAACTAACGAATCGGGATTCCATTAACAGAACCATCCAGGATTCGACTCCTGTTATACTGGTTTCCATCCTGATGTTCTTCATTCCAAAAGATCCCAGTTTCATTTATAATTACAGCAGTGACCGTGAGTAGCAAAATTTCCCTAATTTCTTAACAAATCAAACAGTACCAATTCTGTTTACGTTCATAGATGCGAAAAGGCCAACAAACTCTTCGGAAGGTTTGATCACATGGGACGTGATACAAAGAAAAATGCCTTGGAGTCTGATGTTTCTTCTAGGTGGTGGATTTGCGATATCCAAAGGTAGCATTGCTTCATGTTTAGCGAAAAGAATCGGAAACTCTCTCGTACCGTTGCGATACTTGCCACCTCAGCTGATCCTCTTGTTTGTATCTCTATTTATTGGTACCATTACGGAATTCACTTCGAACGTCGGTATCGCAAATATTACTCTACCGATTGTAGCTCAAATGGTAAGTGGAATTTTACAAAGAGTTTTAAGTATCCCGTAGTTCGGCTAACGAGTATACGCCGTATTTTTTACCGTGTTTCCTATACAGTGTGTTGCAATGAAGATACACCCAATGTATCTGATGGTACCGGCAACAATAATGTGTTCCTATTCCTTTCGATTGCCAGTCGGTACACCACCGAACGCAATTGTATCAATCGTTGGTCGGATACCGACCAAGTCGATGATGATAGGAGGTTGCGGCCCTGCTATTTTTTCATTATTTGTTCAAAGTATTTGTTTCATTACTTGGGGTAACTGGGTTTACTCTATTGGAGATTTTCCAGAGTGGGCTTCTGAAGCTCATGATTCCGGCGCAAATTCTACATGCGATTGAATAAAAAAAAAAAACTTTCGTTTCATACTTTGTACACGTTATTTTGTTCAATTTATCGCGCGTATACGACGACGAAACTGATGCGATTCAAATTTTCCGGTTTTTCCCACTACGCGCGAAAGCAAAGAATATTACAAATTCTGACTGTAAGATTGTAATGATTTCGACGAGAAGAGCTGCTTACGATAAACTTATTCGTTACGTCTTGGATGCGGCAGAAGATTCGTTTTTTGTTGGACTAAGATTAATTTCTTGCTGTTCCAATCTACGATGCCGTAACATTGTAGAAAGTACACCATTAAAGCTGGCAGTCTTTTTCTTAGCACTCCCCTTTGGAGTACTTTCACCTATTCTTCGAACTGGCAATCGCGGTGACGACATTTCATCCATGAAATCGAAATCAGACTTTTCTTCCGTTCTGAAATTAATAGACATTGTAAAATGAAAAAAGGATCAGAAACGAGAAGAAAAGATGGTGGCGAGAAGGAGAGAAAAATAGCAGGGGATAGTTAATGAAAAGCACGGAATAAAAAAGCATAACTTATTGCCGTTGTTGAAAATTTACTTGTATTCCTGCGAGCCACTATCCAGTTGTCGATTGTTTGAAAGAATGGGAGAAGGACCTCTCCTACCTGGACATTTCCACTCTAGATCCAAAACTCTGTTGTTAGCTTCGAGAGCTTCGATCAGTGTTAATATGTCGTTGGGTTTCAGACTCCATTCGTTCTACGTACGAGTAAAATGAGAAAATAATGGAAAACTAGTTTAGAAAAGAATAGGAAAATTAAATATAAAATGAGAAACTATGTTTACGTGGCTTACTTTTCCATCAGTTTCGTACTTTTCGTCGTCTGAACAATCTACCGACCATTCTTCCTCGCTGCGATCCATCGTTGTTATCCCCAATTGCCTGCAATTGCCGCCAAGTGCTGAAATCAGCTTGAATCAGCTAAAATATTTCCGACGAACGCGTTCCGCCGACACTACCACACAACTGCTACCAACAACGCGACGCAATTGGACGCAATCTTGTAAAAACTGGTAAAAACGCTTCCTCCCTCTGAGGTGCTCCGAGGGAATTACGTATAGTGAAAACACTGTCCGTGAATCATCGTGCCACCGAATGTGGTTGGCTATTCTTAGATGTCGCTTCAATACACGCGGTTAAATTGAACGTGCGTTAAATGTCCGCGCATTAAAAGCGTGAAATTCCCGTCTGTTTAAGTAAGTGTATCTACCTACCGTTCGTTTCTTATGCATGACACAACGATTGAACTCGTAGAGTGTAGAGAATCGAACAACTTGGTGGACGCGTATCATGCAATTTTTTTATACATACCATACATATCATACATATCATACATATCATACATATCATGCATACATATCATACATACATACATACATACATACATACATACATACATACATACATACATACGTACGTACATAATACAGAGGACATATGTATAGTTTTATTTAAATTTAAAAGAAGAAACGAGTGAATTATTAGAAACTATATACGGATGCGAATATTCTATCTCGCAATTTCCTCCTTCGCATCGAATAATTTGATTCAACATCGTGGCGTGGGAAACACCAGAATAAATATTATTGCGGGCTATCGCAACATTTCATCGTAAACAATGACGCTGGTTAAAAATAAAAATACACTCAAGAGAGCACGCGAAAGGAAAACTTCGATATAATCGAGGCTATGCTGTTATCAATGATCGTTCCTTCCTTCGTGTACATTAATGTTATTAATATAGGATGAACTTGGGGGATTCCTAATATTCGGCAATATTTCGTCCAGGTTTTGCCGCCGGTAATGATCAGTATCAGTGGCCGTTTTTGTTCGAATAGACGCCACCAACAGCGATGGTTTTGCAACCGACTATCATTCACAGCTGCAGCGAATAAATACGATGAACTTGATACGAGTCTGTCGTTTTATTTTTCAAGACGATAAACATCGTGTCAGAGCCGCGGCAATCAATGACAATTATCTGTCGACGGTGGTCGACTGTCCGACAAGGACGAATGTACATAAGTATACATATAAGTAGAATATGTATGTAGTTCAGTGGAAACGAAACGTTTGCGACAGTAAAGAAATTAAGGTATTCCCGATGCCTACGTAAATATCATCGGTGAAAAAGTATTCTCATTCTTTTTCCACGTCAAGTACAATAATCGTTAAAAATCATTTAGTATCCATCTTATTCTTCCCGCTCCTCTCTCCCTCCTCCTCTACATGGTTTCCGTGTACTTATCATCAAGCTTCGGATGGAACGAATGGGTTTTCCATCGGGAGCAGTCTCAGCTTCGACAGACGGGAAAAAGGACAGACCACCTTTTGAATAAAAGGAAAGATCGACAGCGGTGGAATCCAGATGCATGTTCGATGGAACGAAATCGACGAGCGAAACGTCACGAGCAGATCAAGTAATAACGTTTTCTTCTCTTACCTATCGAAACCAATAAGTAACACCGAATACATATTTTCGGTTGGCACACTTCTTGTGTGACCTGTGACCAACTGCCGAGAAACAGAATCAAGAGGAAACTCGGCGCCTTGAATATACAACCTCGTCGGTGTGCCGGGATGCAGTTTCTACGAAAAATCATTCTTGGAATGTTTTCAGAGAAACGTGCGGTCAAGAGTACAGGGCACAACGAAGCGAAATCGGACAGAAGAAAAGATAAACGCACACCGGAAAATGATCTCTGCCAAGCAATCTTTCCAATATATTACGTCAGTAAAGTGTGCGGCTTGGTTCCTGTCAGATTCATTCGAAACGTCACTGGAAGATATCAGGCACACCTGAGCACGGTGGATCTCCTTTACAGGTAACACCAAACGATAAATTGAGAAATACCTCGTTCGCAAAGGACCCCCATCCTATGCATGTGTAATTCCGATGGAGAAAAGCATCGATAGCAAACACGAGAGGGATGTTGGGAAAATAACGCGGCGGCTTAGCTCTATAATAATAACTCCAGTACTTATTTTCACAGTTTATGCGTACTACTGTTGCTCCTCGGTGCTCAAATTTGGGGTCTATGGCGGGATCTAAAAGACGGATGGGAGCACAGTACCAGATTGAAGTCTCGAACAGCAGTGATCGCGACGTGCAGCGACGTTCTCGGAGTGATGAGCCTTACGGTGGTCTGTATCGTTAACTCGTTATTTCGCTGGAAGTGTCTCCAATTCATAGTGAACAAATTAATAGAGGTGAACACACGACTCGAGCGAGATTCTCTTTGACGACATTTATTCGTTGCATTCGTTGGTGACACGGAATCACGGATCGGATCATCTGCTTTCGATGGTACTGATTTTAGGTGGACGAAAAGATAGGTGTTACCAATGTGAAAAATACTCGATGGTTCACCACCTGCTCAACGGTATGTAGCCTAACGTACCTATGGACGAACTCGATTCTTGACTTCTATACATGGACTCGCAAAATGAGAATCGACAAAACAATGTCTGGCAAAGGTCCGATTAACTTCGCGTCCCTGTATTTCATGTACACTGTGATCATTTCGACGGAAATCCAATACACCGTCTGCACGTATAATGTGGGACAAAGATTAGTTAGGCTGAACGATTGCCTCAGAAATCTGTTCAACAGCCACACCGTATCCACCGATTGCATTGGAAAGTCCGTTGAAACAGGTAAAGGGAGTAACAGAGTCGCAACCTTTTTTCACCCCCCAACAACCTGTTAAATGTCGCATTTTCCGTTCGTATATTGTCGATGGGTATCCGCGTCCACTCGATAAATTATCGCAACAAACAACAACAATGGCAGCAGAAGATGCTCGCGAGAAAGGGACCAACACCGTGTCGCGCAGCCTATACGAGTTGTACAGTACACGGGGGGTCTTTCGGAGCTCGAATGGTAATTATTTCGACAGAATTCGCGTGCAATCTCTAGATATCATGTGTCCGTTTAGTTACAGACAAGAAAATCTGGCCGAACGGTGGTATAACCGAATTGATAATGGTACACTCGTTGCTTTGCGATACAGTCACTCTTATCAACAACATGTTCGGCGTTGTAATTTTGGCAGCCACTACAACTTGTCTACTACATCTTGTGATAACACCTTATTTTTTGATTCTACAAGCAAGCGAAACACACGAATGGATATTTTTAGCGGTGCAGGGTATGTGGTGTATTTTTCACGTAGCTAGGATGCTGATAATCGTTCAACCTACCTACTCGACCGTCGTGGAGGTAAAAAAAAAAGACTATACATAGAAGAATATCGTGAAAACATAGTCGCGTGCGATATTCGTAATTATAATGCTATCGCGAACAAGT